TCATTAAGGATTTGTGGAAAATGTTGGGAATGACGGGGAAGGTGCATGGGAAGGTCCAGAGTTGGCTTTGATTCTGTTCATTAAAGATTTGTGGAAAATGTTGGGAATAAAGGGGAAGGTGCAGGAGTTTTGGAGGAGTATGGTGGGTTCTCCCTGATCCTCAGGAAAATGGGAATTTCGGCTTGCCCAGAGACAGGTGGCAAAGGACAGAGCTGGAATTTCCTGGGCATGACGTGAGGGGAGCAAGGAAAGGGCTTTCCTGGGATGAGAGCTGGATCCAAGGGGAATTCCAGAGCTCATTCCTGTCTTGCAGGAGGCCAGCTGCAAGAACCACCGCGTCAACCGCGTGGTTTTCCTGGGAAGCACCAAACGGCTCCTGACCACGGGAGTGTCCCGCTGGAACACCCGGCAGATCGCCCTGTGGGACCAGGTGGGTGCCGGGATCCCCCTGCCGGAATTCCTGCTCCATCCCTGCTGGAATTCCTGCTCCAGCCCTGCTGGAATTCCTGCTCCATCCCTGCTGGAATTCCTGTTCCATCCCTGCTGGAATTCCTGCTCCATCCCTGCTGGAATTCCTGTTCCAACCCTGCTGGAATTCCTGTTCCAACCCTGCTGGAATTCCTGCTCCATCCCTGCTGGAATTCCTGCTCCAGCCCTGCCGGAATTCCTGTTCCATCCCTGCTGGAATTCCTGTTCCAACCCTGCTGGAATTCCTGCTCCATCCCTGCTGGAATTCCTGTTCCATCCCTGCTGGAATTCCTGCTCCAACCCTGCCAGGATCCTGCTCCATCCCTGCCGGAATTCCTGTTCCATCCCTGATGGAATTCCTGCTCCATCCCTGCTGGAATTCCTGCTCCAGCCCTGCCAGGATCCTGCTCCATCCCTGCTGGAATTCCTGCTCCATCCCTGCTGGAATTCCTGCTCCATCCCTGCTGGAATTCCTGTTCCAACCCTGCTGGAATTCCTGCTCCAGCCCTGCCAGGATCCTGCTCCATCCCTGCTGGAATTCCTGCTCAAACCCTGCCGGAATTCCTGCTCCAACCCTGCTGGAATTCCTGTTCCAACCCTGCTGGAATTCCTGCTCCATCCCTGCTGGAATTCCTGCTCCGTTCCTGCTGGAATTCCTGCTCCATCCCTGCTGGAATTCCTGCTCCATCCCTGCCGGAATTCCTGCTCAAACCCTGCTGGAATTCCTGCTCCAGCCCCACCAGGATCCCTCTCCATCCCTGCCCAGCTCCCTGCTGGAATTCCTTCTCCGTGCCCACTGGGATCCTGCTCAGCACCGCCATTGGGATGCAGCTAAGAGCGGGATTTTCCTGTTTTCCAGGAAGATTTGTCCATGCCCCTGATGGAGGAGGAGATCGACGGGCTCTCGGGGCTCCTCTTCCCGTTCTACGACGCCGACACCCACATGCTCTACCTGGCTGGGAAGGTAGGGATGCACGGAGCATCCGGATGTGGCATTCCCAGAAAATCCCCCCGCATTGCCCGAGGGATTGGGGCTGGAATTTGGATCCTGGAATGGGTTGTGTGGAAAGGGAGCTTCAAACTCATCCAGTTCCATGGATGTCCCTGCCATGGGGCACATTCCATCATCCCAGGCTGTTCCGAGCCCCATCCAACCCGGGATATTCCGGAGATCCAGAGGCAGTTTCTATGGGAATTCCATCCCAGCCCCTCCTCACTCTCCCAGGGAACAATTCCTTCCCGATATCCCATCCGTTCCTGCCTTCTAAATGCTCCTAATCCTGGTTTTTTCCCACCTTCTCATTTCCAAATCCATTCCCATCCCTCTTCCCCGCCGCTCCAGGGCGACGGCAACATCCGATACTACGAGATCGGCTCGGAAAAGCCCTACCTGAGTTATCTCATGGAATTCCGCTCGCCGGCTCCGCAGAAAGGGCTGGGTAAGGCTGGAGGAGCTGCGGCTCCGCTTCCCGGAGCATGGAAAAGGTGGATGGGGAAGGGGCTGGACTGAACGGCACAAGGAAAAGGGGACGGGTTGGGCTTGGATTTGGGTTGGAATGGATTTGGATTGGGGTTGGGATGGGTTTGGATTGGGTTTGGAATGGATTTGGATTGGGTTTAAATTGGAATGGGTTTGGGTTGGGTTTGGATTGGCTT